CCCTGAATTTAGACTTTTAGCCTACTTTGACTATGAGGAAATAAACTTCTCTTCATTAAAACCATCCACTTGTGGTATTTCTGTTGTAGCAGCACTAGGTGACTAAGATAGTGGGTCTCTAAAAGGCACAGATATAACGCCAATTCAAGAAGATGTGGCCATGTTCCTAATCAAAGTCTTCTATTTTCCCCAGGTTAAAGAAGTTGGGGCATCAACAAGTAGCTATAAAGATGATATCCCTCCTAGCAGTGAGTCTTTGGCCTCAGGTAGACACTTCTCTAAGCCTCAGCTTCCTAGTCTTTAAAATGGGAAAAATAACTTCCCTGTCTACACAAAGTTTTTAATGAGGAGGAAAAAAAAAGATGCTGTGTATAAAACAGTTTGTAGACTGTAAAGCACTATTTAAACGTAGAGAATAGAATAAAAAATATAAAAGCAAATGTAAAATAGAGTTAAGAATAAAGAATTCAGTGCTCAAATTTTAATAAACTTCCATTAATCATTTTTACAAATTTTTCACAATGCATTACACAAAGACTTTTCTTCCTCTCCTGTGCTCAATGCTAATCCCATGGGATTTGACACACTTAGAGTTTATTTCACAAAAAAAATTCCAAACTTAAGAGAGCCACAGAATATGAATACATGGTCCATTTGAAGGAGGAGATATTCCCTTCCTAGCTTTTATATTGCACCATTCATAGATAGTTGTAAACCACTTGTAAATGTTAAGCGCTAAAGAAATAGAAATATTAATCTTCAACAACCATTCCTTCCCAATTTGGTACACTTGGTACCATTGTGGGGCCCTGGTGGCACAGTGGTAAAGAGCTTGGCTGCTAACCAAAATGTCAGCAGTTCAAATCCACCAGCCACTCCATGGAAACCTTATGGGGCAGTTCTACTCTGTCCTATAGGGTTACTATGAGCAGGAATTGACTCAGCGGCAACAGAAGTGTCGTTGTATCCCAAGAATGTATTTGATCCCATAATTCCTCCTTAGCTTCTTAATTCATAAATTGAGATTGGTAAACTTACCATATTGTGGTGGGTTTGCACTGGTTTTGGCAAGGGACCACAAATTCATCATATTCCTGTTTTAGCCTGTATTAAATCTAAATTATTTAAATACGAAATGAAAAACATTACTGAAAAAACTCACATTTGAAAAGCAAGAAGATTATTTGCTTTATACCTTAATGCTGAAATCTGAGCAGAAGTCTTCAAATTAGATTGTTTAAAAATGAATCCATCAAATTTTCCTTTCTAATGTTAAGAAAGGTCAGAGGCAATTCAAAATCTTTTCATTTCCTATCACTCATTCTCTCCTGTAGAATTTTGTGCTATATTCCCTGCTTGCCTGTTCTTTTTGTTGAAAATCCTCTTTACACCACCCCACCCCCTGCTTCTTTTTTTTTTTTGCTGAGGCTTTCAATTTGTTATATCTTTAATGGACAGAAGAAAGGGTTGAACTCCCAACCTTTGAAACCTCTTAATACTTGCTGAGTGATCAAGAAGCAGAGTGAAATACTGATTAGACTTTACTCCACTTGGAAACGTCTTTCCTTCAATAGTTCAACCAGCCCCATTTTAAGAAATTAAGTTTTTATTTTTCTTAAATCCAAAATGTAAAAAAAAAAACACAAAAAATCCAAAATGTTTTGGAACATTTTCCAAAAGGCAAAACCAAATTTCTATAGTTAGTGGTCAGCTTGGGAAACTGTATTTTCAGACCTACTTTAAAATCAAATCATTTTGCATAATATATTTGTTGTTGTTAGTTGCCATTGAGTGGATTCTAACTCATGGTGACTCCATGTGTGTGGAGTAGAACTGCTCCATAGGGTTTTCAAGGCAGTAACCTTTCAGAAGCAGGCCAGTCTTCCAAGGCACCTCTGGGTGGGTTGGAATTGCCAACCTTTCAGTTAGCAGTCAAGTTCTTAACCATTTGTGCCACCTTTTTATATTAGATGTATAGTGTTGTCTGTTACATTGCTTCATGCTGTTGTATCAAAGTACTTTACCATTATAAATAGACATCATTGCTCTTACTGTACGGCAGTAGTTTCTGAATGAAATTCTTCAGGGAAGCCAAAGCACAATAGTAATATGGTTGTTGTTGTGTGCCGTCAGTCGATTCCGACTCATAGCGACCCTGTATGGTAATGTTAGTCATTTTTTACACCAACCAGTCACCAACAGGCCAATTCTTACACTAATTCAGCAAGATGTTGATAATCCCCTCCCCCATCTGCTTTTTAAGTCATACTCATGACTTAAAAAGCAAATGGGGATTATCAACATCTCACGAAATTGATTTAAGAAAGACTAACATTACCATACAGGGTCGGTTTGAGTTGGAATCAACTAGACGGTAACGCGTTTTACGTTTTTGGCTTTTTAAGTAATCTATAGATGAAAAAAATATTAGGAATTTTGAAAGGCCCCATCCAACCAGATTTGGAGTCAGTCTTTCTTGAACCACCTCTAAATAAGAGCTGTGAACAGTGAGGCTATCACCTGTTTCTGGTGATTTTGTTTCCTCTTCACTCGTTCATAGCTCAGAATCACACTAAATGAACCTCTTTTCCATTATTACTAGTATTATTTCCATTCCCCTCCCCCACAGGTGGATCTCCCCACTACGTTCAGAAACTTGAAGCTGATGTTCCTACAATCTTCTCTTCTGTATCCTCAAATGACCCAGAATTAAATATTTTAATACATTGGCTAGTTTATTTCTGTTGGCATTCACGGTGTCTGCACAACTGTTCCCTTATTTATATAGCTCACAAATGCTGTTGGACTTGTAACAGTATACTAGTCTAGTGAACTCTCCCGGAACAGTTGACATGGATGGATTTTACTCCTACTTCGTTACAAGCGGAAGGATGTAGAAAGAGAGACGATTACAAAAAGAAAGATTTTAATCCCTTTTCTCAGAGATCTGTGGGGGCCGTGTGCTAACATTTAAATCGAAGGGGAGGGAGGAGAAAGGACTGAGGGTGGAGAGGAACCAAGGAGGTGGGGGCGGAGTCTAGTTCAGCAAATAAAACCCCTCGATCAAAGGGAGGCACGTTCATGTGTGGAGGCATTCTCCTGCCCAGAGAGATGGGGCAGTCTGTGCCGTAAGGACGGAGATCGGAAGAAGGAAAACAAGGACGAAAAGACAAGCGAGAAATAAAAGGATATCAGGAAAGAGCAGAAGGCAGAAAGGGTGGGGAAAAGAAACCCACATCAGGTGGAACAAGATCTAGAGCAAACCGGTCCGGTGCACTGTTTGTTTTTCTGAGAGAGAAGAAACTACCTGAGGATTGCCTTTTTTTTTTTTTTCTTCCTTCAGCTAAGGAAAACTACTTTTATCCTCATTATAAAAGAAAAGGCTAAGGGAAGGTAAAGACAATCTCTGTTTTATTAGGGGGAGAGCTGAACGGAATCAGACTACCTTCTTGATACGTCTGAAATAAGCCACTGCGGGGTATACATAGAGCAGAACCATCCTGGTTTCTGAAGATCTGCATCCCTTTCAGGAGAATTCCACAGAGAGTAGCTGGTAAGTTCTATTTTTGTATTTAAATATATATGTCTCTTATTTTCCTTTTTAACCACACTTTCCTTGTTTGTAATCACCAGTGACAAGAAAGTGCCCATATGGAGTAGTATTCTCAATTTCCTTTTTTTTATATATTTGCTTTTGTCTTCTTTAGAGGGTAGGAGTGGTCCTTATTTCAGAAAAGAGCGTTTTAATTTGAAATCTCTCTGTAAATATGTTTACGCTCACACACACATACTCTTTTTGAAAGATACCTTTTGGAGATTGAAATCCTACTGAGAAAGATGGAAAAAGGAGCCAGGCAACGAAGCAGCACTGAAAAGAATCACCCAGGTGGGACCGAGTCAGATGCCAGCCCTGAGACTGGTTCCGGAGGGGATGGAGTAGCCCTGAAGAAAGAGATCGGATTGGTCAGTGCTTGTGGTATCATTGTAGGTGAGTCCAATTCCTTTTCCTACTGGCCATTCCTCCCCTTCTCTGGTACTCCTTTTGGGGGAAGCTTAACATCTCTAAAGCACCATTTTTGCTCCCTACCCATTTAGAAAAGGATTGTCAGTCACATGTGCTATAACCTACCTGAGCTGGTCAAGGTTGAGAGGTATAGGAGTGGGCGAGTGATATATGTCGTATATCTATTACTCTAAGCCAACCTGAACAGTTCTGTCCAGTGTTCATAGGATGGAGCAGATAGGGATCACAAGTCTGGCTGCTGGTCAGCCTTGTCTGGGAGCTTGTTAAAAAATAAGCCTCTGAGTTCCAAATTTGGAGGCTCTGATTCAGCAGGCTTAAGGTGGGGCTGGTGGACTGGAATTTTTAACAAGCTTTCATGAAGCCATCTCCTCAGCAGCCTGTGGACTGGTTTTTGAGATGTATTTAACAGATATTTTGTCGTTTCATGTTATGTGAAACTATATTCCTAGTGGGTGTATAATAATAAAAATAGCAACAACAGCAATAATAATGCCTTACACTCCTATAGCTTTTTCCATCTTATACAGCACTTTAACCTTGTGAAGTAGATGTGACAGAGCTGTTTTTCTCTTTTCATGTGTGAGGAAATTAAGAGGAGACAGATTGTGCCTTTTTGTAAATGGATAGTTTATAGTTTCTCTGGTTGCCTGGTGGAGTGAACCTGTCTCTTAACATTCATAGAGACCCCTATGAGGTTCTCGAGAGGAATTGAGAGTAACTAGAATGTGGAGTCAAGGGGGAACTGACAGGTAAAATGTGTGTTCTAACTGGGAGGTTCTCAAGCTGTGGTGCCTTAGTGTCCCTTAGAGTGCCAGTGCAGGCCACTCTGAGCCCCCGCTACACTCTATATGACCCATAAACCCATTGCCATTGAGTCAATTCTGACTCATGGCGACCCCATGTGTTACAGAGTAGAACTGCTCCATAGAGTTTTTTTGGCTGTAATCTTTATGGAGGAAGTTCCCCAGGCCTTTCTTCCACAGAGCTGCTGGGTAGGTTCAAACCGCCAACCTTTAGTTTAGCAGCTGATTGCAAACCACTTGCACCATCCAGGCTCCTCTCTATAGGACAGTAGGGTTCCTAATACAGCCCCACCTCTAGACAACACAGCCTCCTCTTTCCAGAGAGGCCCTGGAGATGGGTTGTTTCTAATGGCTCACTATAGCTCTCACTTCAGCGAAAGTGGCCAGCAGGACAAGTTTCTTCTCTTGTGGTAGGGGGCTTTTTTTCCTTCTTCCCAGAGAAAGGAGCGCGGGACTGTCAGGCCTGAATATGTTTCTGTGTCATCTCTCCAGAATTCCTTTGTGAAGGCTGATTGTGTCCTGGTTCCCATGAGTCCGCTTCTCTGGATGACTCCATGTTCCAGGCAGTAGCACATAGACTGTTTGGCACCAGAGCAATAGTGACACTGGAGAACACCCTTGAAATCAAATAAAATCAGTCCAGTATTCAGATAATCCTCTTTGCCTCTATACCCAGACTTCAGTGATCATATTATCTCCACTCTGTTTTCAAAATGGAATCCCATTTTATCTAATTCTCTGGCTCTGGGAGGCTTTCTAGGCATCTATGGTTATAAGAAAGGTAATGTTATAAAAAAAATTATAGACATGATTTGAGTCTCTCATTACCTCCCTTTTTTTCCCCTCTCCTTTATCTCTATTGCTGTGAAAAATGAGATCAGCAAAGTACTCAATATGTAGAGCACATGCCAATTTAAGGTCTATAAATAACCCAGAGGCTGTTACCCCTTTCACCAGTTCCCCTGATAGGATTAAATGTTTACCTCCCTTTGGGAAGGCTGTGATTCATACGCAGATATGCACACCCACAGGCACACAAACACACTCAAACCTCCTTCCTCCTGCTTCAGCTTTGCTCACCCGTCCCAACATATGTGCAGGTATTCAAGGGTAGAGGGCATTTTCCTATATACTGAGGTTGTTTTTATCTCTTCTATTAACAATTTTCTAAGACTATGAAGAAATGGGAGTGTTCAGTATGATAAGTATGATTTCAGTTGGGTGAATGTTACTACTGATTTGTCTGTAACCTCATGGAAGGCACTTCAATGTGAGAATAGTCCTAAAGCTCCCCATGGTGGCATTACACTAACAAGAATAACAACTCTGATGTTCTTTGGTGAAAAGAAATCCCAGAGATCCCAAATATGTGATTTCAGAGAAATCAGCATATTTTTTTCCTAAGTGAGAATCCTTGTGGAGTTGAGACACACTATTCCACCTCCATTTAAGCTAGAATGAAACACAAATTTCTCCTCTAGGATGATATAGGGGCAAAATCCTCTTTGATTCCTGTCCTGCATGGCTGTTGAATTGCAGATGTGCTCATCCTCAGCTGCCCTGTCCTCTTCTAGAGGGCTTTTCAAGTGGATGAGAGTGATTCAAGTTTTTTCAAAACAAAACACAAAAGTAGAAATGGCATTTTCCATGCAGAAGTAAATAATCTCATGTTCAATATCAGTGCTATGGAATACAGACCAGTCTGAAGAAAGAGGCCAGCACTATGGAAGAAGGAGAATTAAAAGACAAAAAGAGAAAAGAAATTTCCTAAGTACATCAGGTGATGAAGTATGGGAAAGTAGCATTTGCCCCAAATCTATCTATCTCATACTCAGTTGACTTCAACTATATGTTTCATGCAAGCTCCTGAAATTTAAGATCTATTCATTCACAGTCATCATTGGTTATTGTCTTAGTCATCTGCTATAACAGAAATACCACAAGTGGATGGCTTTAAGAAAGAGAAATTTATTCTCTCACAATCTAGTAGGCTACAAGTCCAAATTCAGCTCCAGGGGAAGGCTTTCTCTGTTGGCTCTGGAGGACGGTCCATGTCATCCATCTTCCCTTGGTCTAGGAGCTTCTCCACAGAGGAACCTCAGGTCCAAAGGACAGGGTCTGCTCCTGGCACAGCTTTCTTGGTAGTATGAGGTCCCCATGTCTCTCTGCTCACTTGTCTCTTTTATATCTCAAAAGTGATTGGCTTAAGACACTGTCTAATCTTGTAGATCTCATCAATATAACTGCTACTGATCCATCTCATTACATTGTAGTGGTAGGATTTACAAGACATAGGGAAATCACATCAGATGACAAAATGGTAAAAATTATACAATACTGGGAATCATGACCTAGCCAAGTTGTCAGGTATTTTTGGGGGACACAATTCAATCCACGACAGTTATCTAAAGTAGGAATAACAGAGTGGCAGGTGTTATGGGAATATAAAACTAACAGAGGACTCATGCCCCAGAGTTCCTTATAGTCTGACTGGGGAGATGAGGTTCATATACATTAAATAGAGAACATAGAAAATTAACGATGTGGTTTAGTTGTGTAAGAGCGAAAGGAGGGCATCGTTAGGTAAAATGGTGGAAAACACAAAGGGAAGAGCGATTCTCACCAAGAACTAGATTGAGAATCGTCTTCAAGGAGGTAGGGAGAAATGGAGTGGAGAAAATGACTCTGGAAGATTTTGTAGGTGAAAAGGTAATGGCTAAACTGCTATTCCTTGGGCAAAAGTTGTGTCTTATATGTCTCTGAATCCTTAGTGCCTCACGGAATGCCTGACATGGACCAGTTACTCAAATGTTTATTGAATTTAATTGACTTCTTGAAAAAAAAATTTGAAGACAGCAGTCGTAAGAAACATTTATCTGCAGGGCTGCTGGGGACCTGGCTTGAAAATCTTTAAGCTAGGAATAATTTTATCAACCTGGACAGTTAGGTTGGCCCATTTTAATTTTTTAACATCACTCTTGCCCTAACTTAACCAGGCTATTGCTCTCCATATATTTGACTAAGGAAACTTGTTGGCAGCAAATGAACTTAGGTTTTATGGTGAATGCGGAGTCTTCTCAAAATCTAAGGAGAGTGTGAAGGAACAACAAAATTCATTTATTCATAATACCAAACCCACTATTACTAGCTATCATTATTAAAAACTTACTGTATGGTGGAAACCCTGGTGGTATAGTGGTTAAGAGTTTGGCTGCTAACCAAAAGGTCAGCAGTTTGAATCTACCAGGCACTCCTCGGAAACCCTGTGGGGCAGTTGTACTCTGTCCTATTGGGTAGCTATGAGTTGGCATCAGCTTGACGGCAGTGGGTTTTGTTTTGTTTTTTTTGGTACTGTATGGCAGGCAGAATCCCTGGGCGGTGCAAAAGCTTAACGTGTTAGGCTGCTAACAAAAATTGGAGGTTGGAATCTACCCAGAGGTGCCTCAGAAGAAAGGCCTGGTGGTCTACTTCTGAAAAATCAGCCATTGGAAACCCTGTGGAGCACGGTTCTACTCTGACAGACATGGGGTCACCATGAGTGGAAATCGATGCGATTGCAACTGGTGGTGGTGGTAGTGGTGGATATGCCAGTCCAATCTTCTGTCTTATTTATTCCTCACAATAACCTGTGTGGTAGACACTTATCCCTCCTTCCAGATAAAGAAATAGAAGCTTAGAGGGATAAATAACTTGCCTGAGGTCAGTTCACTAGAAAGTATTGGAGCCAGAATTCAAACTCAGAGCTTGTCTGAATGCTGAATCAAGCTCTTAAGCCTTATTTGCTACTATTTCTATTTTTCTGTCCTAAAATCCCCGTTTTTCTTTAGAATGTGGGCAGCTATCCTTATTTGTTATTATAGATAAAGCAATTAGTGTTGTGTTCCCTGTGAGAAAGTGTCCTGGTATAAGGAAGAGCTGAGCAGTCCGCTGGGAGTAAAAGGAGGTAATGTTCCTGGTGCAGTTGCAGGGAGACTTGGGGTGAGCCTGAGACACGTTGGCTTGGCTTTCGCAGGATCTGGCCAGCACAGGCTATGCTCCCATTTGCTCTTCTACTAGCTGTCATTATTAAATGCACACCTTTCCTTTATGGATCATGTTCTCCCAGCCATGTTAGAGGCACCCACAGAGTTCCTGGCTGTTTAGGTCACTTTATACCAGTCA